TGCCTGTGACCAGGAAGGTCTTCCCACCCTAACCCATGGGCCCGGCACAGGGAGAAGGAGGTGGGAAAAAGTGACCAATTCAGGAACAGGAAAAACCCACTAATCCGCAAGCTTCCCACAAAAACAAAAAACAACAAAAAAACCCAACCAAACCAAAAACAAACAAACAAACAAACAAACAAAAAACAAAAAAAAACCCCACCAATCCCAGAGCAGGAGAATCCTTAAACAGGAAAATCCACCAGTCTCTGAGCTCTGTAAGCTCATGATTCAAAATCCCACCAATCCTCAATCTGGAAATCTCTGACTTGAAAAGATGTGCCCCCTAAGAAATCCTATATAAGCCCCGTCCTTTGCTCGATTCCCTGCTATCTGCTCCTGGGAGAGGAAGGCAGCTATGATAGTTTGTATATGCTTAGCTCAGGGAGTGTCACTATTTGGAGATGTGGCTTTGTTGGAGTAGGTGTGTCACTGTGGGTGTGGGCTTAAGACTCTCACCCTAGATGCCTGACAGTTAGTTTTCCACTAGCAGCCTTCAGATGAACATGTAGAACTCTCAGCTCCTCCTGTACCATACCTGCCTGGATGCTGCCATGCTCCCACCTTGATGATAATAGACTGAACCTCTGAACCTGTAAGCCAGCCCCAATCAAATGCTGTCTTTTATAAGACTTGCCTTGGTTATGGTGTCTGTTCACAGAAATAAAACCCTAAGACAGAACTTGGTACCAGGAGTAGGGTACTGCTGTGATAGGCCTGACCATACTTTTGTTTGGAAGAATGTGGATTTGGGACTTTGGATTTGGAAAGCTATGGAATGCCCTAAGTGAGGTTTAATGGGCCATTCTAGTAGGAATATGGAAGACTATGTTGCTGAGGGTGATTTGAACTATGGAATCCTAGTTCTAAAAGTTTCAGAGGAGAAGAATTTTAGTACATCGCCAAGAGACTGTTTTTGTGGTACGTTGGTAAAGAATGTGGCTGCTTTTTGCCCTTGTCTGAAGAGTTTACCTAAAGCTAAAGTAAAGAGATTTATATTAATTGCATTGACAAAGGAAGTATCAAAATAGCTCCATACAGACTTTGTTCTCTGGTTAAGTCTCATGAAAAGCATTTTGAACCATGTAGAAAAGAAAAATTTTAAATATATGATATGAGTATTAAAGGGGCCCCAGAAAGTGAAATGGAGCCGAATCCTGTGTTCAAGGATATCACATCAAATAAAGGGAGTAACACTTTGGGGCAAGAGCCTACCCCAAAAAAATTTAGATCCAGGTATGGTGACACATTTCTTTAATCCCAGGAGATAAAGCCAAGCAGATCTCCGAGTTCAAGGCCAACCTGGGACAGAGTAAGTTCTAGGTGAAGAAAAACTTAAATCACATCTTTAATCCTAGGAGACAGGCATACAGATCCCCGAGTTCAAGGTCAATCTACAGAGCAAGATTCAGGACAGCCAAGCTTAGGTAGTGAAGGAGTTGGAAAACAGAAAGCTGGAGACAATCTAATAGAACAAGGGGGCCATGTTCCAGCTCCTGCAAGCGGCAGAACTCTGCAACTTCAGCCATGTGGCTTTGGCTTTAGAATCAAGAATAGAAGGGACTACTGGAATAATTGATGCTGGTTAGCTGGAGCTAAGAAATTAGTGGTGATTAAGAAGAGACCAGCATCACTGAGGTGAAATCTGGGAAGTGTTTTCTGAGAGCACAAAGAAGCTAGGTTCCAGAGTTGGCCAAGGTTGTACCTCATGCTGCAGCTGTACTTGGTAATGTGTAAGAGTCTCCCAGGTGGTACTGGTTTTGAAGGCATGAAAGGGTAATGAAGAGCAGCTGAGGCTTGGCACTTCAAGAGGCCATTGGAAGGCCATTGGTGAAAGTGTAACCTCAGTTGTAGTTGACGGCCCAGGACTGAAGGGGTCATGCAAAGGATGTGAGGCTTGGCACCATGAAGAGAGCCTATAAGAGGCTACTGGTGAAGCTTAGTTGCAGTTGAAGACCCCAGTGTACTGGAGATGCCAGTACCATGGGATGATCACCAAAAACAGTAATGGTAGTGGAGTGGATCAACTTGAGCTTAGAGCACTACAGAGGGCAGAGCTGGAGAAGTGATGTCAGCCCTTTGGAGGAGCCCAGATTATGCGTGGATCCCATTGAAACAAGAAGCTGTAAGTAACATTGAAGTTGCCTTGGAGACCCCAAGATGTTCAAGATGCCAGAGCCATGAGGTATCTGCTAAGGAAAGTTGCTAACTGTGAATGGAACCACCCCAGGAGAAAGAAGTTTGTTACAGTCAACAAAGATGAAAACAGAGTTGGAGATCTGAAGACTACTTTGACATCAGACATGGAGATGCAGAGTTTGGAGTGTGTCCAGCTGGCTTCTTGTTTTGCTTTGAGGATTACAGTTAAGTGATTGGATGAATCTTAGACGAGAACTTGAACTTTGAACTGTTAACATTGTAGATTCTGCTATAAACTATGGGGACTTTGGAAGTTGGACTAAATATATTTTGCATGATGGTATGTTTAGGAATGGCCTCCATAGACTCATGTGTTTGAATAAGCCTATGGGGGCAGGGGGTGGAATGTGATGGTTTGTATATGCTTGGTCCAGGGAGTGGCACTATTAGGAGGTGTGGCTTTGTTGGAGTAGGTGTGTCACTGTGGACATGGGCTTAAGACCCTCACCCTAGCTGCCTGGAAGTTAGTCTTCCACTAGCAGCCTTCAGATGAAGATGTAGAACTCTCAAGAACTCTCAGCTCCTCCTGCACCATGCCTGCCTGGATGCTGCAATGCTCCCACCTTGATGATAATAGACTGAACCTCTGAAACTGTAAACCAGCCCCAATTAAATGTTGTCTTTTATAAGAGTTGCCTTGGTTATGGTGTCTGTTCACAGTAGTAAAACCCTAACTAAGACAGCAGCCATCCCTGGATTCTTACTTGCTTTCACTGGATGCTCCAGTAAATCTATCTCATGAGATTTGCTACCTGGTGTGTAAACAGTTAAGCTTTACCACTTGCAACATGGAAGGAACAGGAAAACAGCAGGTTAGTGAAGCATCTAGACACAGGACATCAATGCTGACAGAGGGCGTTGTCACGGAAGCTAGCAGCAGAAGAAGCCAAGAAGCACCGAAGAGAAGGAAAAAGTGAAGAAGTGGAGAGGGTCCAAGGCTCCTCAGCTCCTCAGCTCAGCTGAGGATATCTCCACCCCCGAGAGAGCTGTGTCATCACTACTGAAGAGGCTTCCTCTCTGAACTTTGTGGTTCCTGGATTCCCTTGTCTCAGGATTCCCTTCCATTGCAACACTGTTCCTCCTGAGAATGGTCTAATTCTTGAGTTCCCTATCTCAGGTTTCCCTTCCATTGGGAAACCTCTTTTCAGAGCTGTATGGTTCCTGGGCTTCTGAGTCCCAGGATACTCTCCTATCTGAGCAGAAACACGTTCATACTATGCTTATATTATCCCTGCCCTCTTTTTTATGTAAACCCTGGTTTACATGTATATACATGAGTTCAACATGTTGAAGCTGGGCATAGATAGGTCAAAGCCTGTAATCCCAATAGCACACTTGGTGGATCGAGACAGGAGGACCTTGAGTTCAAGGCCAGGAGAGCTGCAGAATGAGGCCCGGTTTACCACAGTTTAACCTCCCGAATCAAACAAGCCTGTGCTCATTAGGGCTTTCTTTTTATCCTCATGGTATCAAAGGACTAGATAGTCTTTTCCTGGTGGAATAGCTTAATTAATCCAAACAAAGAGTCTTTTTAAGTAAAATTTATTATATTAGTTATCTTTCTGAAAGATTTTTAATTTTAAGTGTATGACGGTTTTCCTGAATGTATGTATGTATGTATGTATGTATGTATGTATACTACAAGTGTGCCTTGTGTCCAAAGTGGCCAGAAGATGTACCATAGCTCCTAGAACTTAAAGTTATAGATGGTTGTGAGCTACCATGGGTGCTGGGAACAGGTCCTCCCCAAGAGTAGCCAGTACCCTGAACCACTGAAGCATATCTCCAGCCTGTGAACTTTATATTAAAAAAATTAAAACCGAGCTGGGCAGTGGTGGTGCATGCCTTTAATCCCAGCACTTGGGAGGCAGAGGCAGGCGGATTTCTTAGTTTGAGGCCAGCCTGGTCTACATAGTGAGTTCCAGGATAGCCAGAGCTACACAGAGAAGCCATGTCTCGAAAATCAAATAAATAAATAAATAAATAAACAAATAAATATTTTAAATAAATAAATAAATAAATAAACAAACAAACCAAACAAAAAACCTCTTAACGATCTTCTTTTCCTCTACTTTATGCATCCTGCTTGCATCAGTTTCCTACCTGAGTGCACTCATAAAGAAATAAAACATAGTAAAGACTAGCCAAAGTTCGCTTGGGATGCAGCTTAGGTTGTAAAGCCCTTGCCTAGCATGCAGAGTCCTGAGTTCCTGAGTTTGCTTCCCCAGTACCACATAAACCTGGCATGGCAGCCCATGCCTGTATTCATAGCACTAGGAAGATGGAGGCAGGAGGATCAAAAGTTTAAGTTCATCTTCAGCTACACAGCAAGTTTCTGTTTAGTCTACAGTTACATGACACCCTGGCTCAACCCTCTGTCCCCAAAACTAAAGAAAGCTAGTGGAAACATTGCCATTATCCTCAAAGAATCAGCCACACACACTCAGTGCTAGATACCTGGTCCAAGCAATAATGTCAACTCTCTTCTTATTCCCAGTATCCGTCCCCGTGAGGAACTCCCACTTAGGGCTGGGAGATGGATGGCTCAGGTCACAGATGCAGTGGGTTCTCCTGCTGACTGAGTGCTGGATTCCCCACTCTGCCTGTCCCTTTCAAACATCTCCATCTACTTTGGTTTCTTTCTTCCTGGGATACTGCTTTCATGATCATCCAGGAAGCCTAAGGACTAGCCATCTCCAGCCTCTACCCCTGTGCCTGAGAGCAGCAATTACAAGTGGTTTCACAGGAAAGCTGTCACTCACCATTTTAGTGCCCTTGGTCACTCGGTACAACACAAACTGGTTGCCGCTTTGTAACCCAGCATTATACTTCTTCAGAGCGGTATCCACAGCCTGAAATACAGTCTCATCATTGCAGTCAGTTTCCTGGGTATCTTCTTCCTGTGCTAAACATGGCAGGAGCCTGGAGCAGAGGAGCAGGATAGTAATTAGCCTCATGATTTAAGGTTCCGGAGAGAATTGGAGGGACTGTTTTGCCGAGAATAGGAAACCAACTCAGAAGCTGCTTTTAGTAGCCTCCAGTCTCTGATCTCTCCTGCCTCTGCTCTCCCTACTGGGGTCGCTATTTATATTCCTGCATTCATTAGTTCTTTGCCTTCTTCCTCCCAGAGAACAAATAGAACTATGCTGGATGTCAAGCAGGTTTCAGGCTGTAACGTTGCAACACTGGGGTTGGTTTGTTTGCCTTTGGAAAGAATGTGCAAGTGTAGAGCACATTTCTCAAATATTGCACAACAAAAAGATATGCCCAAGTTGCAGATTATACTATATTATATTCTAAATGTCAGTAATATTAACAATAAAAATGAAAGCTTGTGGGGCGGTGGTGGCACATGCCTTTAATCCCAGCACTTGGGAGGCAGAGGCAGGCACATTTGTGAGTTCAAGGCCTGGCTGATCTACAGAGTTCTAGGACAGCCAGGGCTATACAGAGAAACCGTATCTTTGTAGGGGAGGTATTGATTCCCTAATTGGTTCTTGATTGTGTCAATAAAGATGGTGGAAGCCCATTGCTAGGAGAAGGGGAAAAGAGAAGGGAATGAGAGGGAGGAGGCAGAGTGGCAGACATGTAGACCTCAGGGCACCTATAGTTTGTAGCCTCCGTTGTGGGCAGAGGCCAAGAAGGATGGGGAAGGATATTCTTCACCCAGCCATTGAGTTATCTGGCTAGTTCTAAAATATTAAGGCTGCCCAGTGTTTTCCATCTGCTGTGACTCAGGTGGGCAGGAGAAAGGGCACAGCTGGGGTGCAACTGGCGCTAGCTGTGAGAGGTTGAGGGAGCTTGGATTGAGCTCCCAAGAATGAGCGAATGTTTTATTAAAATTGTATGCAACAGAGTTGTGTTTTCCTTTAATGGGCTTATTGGGGTTGGAGATTTACCACAACAGAGCTACAGAGTTCTAGGACAGCCATGGCTACACAGAGAAACTCTATCTCAAAAAAGAAAACAAAACAAAACGAAGAAAACTTTAGTTGACTTAGTAGAGAATCTGAGTAAACTTTAAACTTGTAAGCTGTTGTCTAAAAGCAGGAATGGCGGGCATCCGTGTAGGAAGTCATGTGCTCCTGGCTCACACGTTATCTACTTTCTAACATGCAGAATTACCACAGACACTTGTAAAAGGTTGCACAAAGCTACTGCATTTATAAGAAGCACAAAAGTGGACACAGTAGTCAGTGTGCATGCGCAGGCATTCACACCTTCAATGACTGCAGATCCAAGGAAGAGCAGGTGCTTCAACTCTAAGACTCTGACAAGCCTTAGCTACTGGGGACTCCCCCAGCCCCAGCCCCAAGGAACCACGAGGAGCTGGAGATCAATGTAAAAGCAAGAGGAGTTTATTTTTCCAGCATGCTGGGGTCATCCTGCATCCAAAAGGAGAGGTGATGACCTTGGGCAGCCTGCTGGTATTATAATAGCTCATACTCCTGGTCTTCTGTATTTAACACCCAGAATCCCTGTCTCAGGCCCATCAACTGTACTGTACCTATGCAATCTTCAACAAATTAACCAAGCAATTCAAAATGTAAGGGCCAAAGGTCAGAAGCAGGAACAAAATGATCAGGAGTCCTAACAACACATAAATCAAGGTAGTAAACCAAGGGGAGTTGTTAAACCAAGATTTAAACCATCCTTGGGCCCTCTCTCTCCCTCTCTTCCTCTCTCTCTCTCTTCCTCTCTCTCTCTCTACCTTTGCCATTGAATCCTTAAGTATCCTCCCCCAACCCCCCCACCATGGTCTTCAGTATGTGCTTCCCAATGTTCCACTCCCCCAGGTAGCACAGAAAAAGTGGTCCCCCACACACACACTGATGGGCCTGCTACTGGCTTCTCTCATCTCAGGGGCACACATATATGGGGGTTTCTCGCAGGACACTTCTCAACTTTGAGTGTTCGCACCCTAAGCCCCACCCTCTGAGGCCACTTTTAGCACACGGTTTAGATTCAAAAGTCCTTTGTCCCCCACATTCTGATAATTCCTGTCCTTGTGTCTCTACTGTAGGGATATCCCAGGAGTCAAGGCCTGCTGCTAACTTACAGAGATCAAAGACAAGGTTCGGCCACCAGGTATAAGGCATTATACTGTAGTGGACCAAGCTACATCCCCAGTGGCTGAGAGTACTTGTCAAGTCACTTTGGTAGGGTTGTGTGGGGTACTGAGGCTCAGCATGGGAAGGAAGATACACCGTAGCCATCTAATGGTTTCTCTGGCCTTGCAGAAGGGCAGGTGATCTTGAGCTTGAGGGGGTTGCTCAGGTGTCTGGCTGCTCTCCAGTTGGCATCAGGTGCAGGTGCTGATCTGATATGAGTTACATGAACCCAGGCAATTACTCCATCCACTTTATCAGAGATGGGTGGTCAACAACACCAGGAACAGCCCTTTCCACTTTGCTTACCTCTGGGGTACCTGCATTATACAGGGCACTAAGTGTAAGCCACAATTCCTGGTGGCTGACCTAGAAAGCTTGCAATCAAGCCATAAGATCCTTGTCAGCCCGAAAAGTCACTTCTGGGAGGGGGGGGTCAAGAGCTGGGGTCAAGGGAGTGAGGGTCCCACACAGGAGGGATGTTCTGGGCTCCAAACAGGGCAAGGACAAGGGACACCACCCACCCAGCGCCAGTTTTCAAGGGCAATTTAGTTAAGGTCTCTTTTTAGGGTTCTGTTCATTCTCTCTACCTGCCCTGAACTCTGGGGACAGTATGAACAATGGAGCTTCCAATTAGTTCCCAATATCTCTGCCAATCCCTGACTTACCTTAGAAACAAACAAACAAACAAACAAACAAACAAAAAACCAATTACCTTGGGCATTCGGAACCTTGGGAAGATTTCTTCTATTATCTTCTTAGATACCACGGTAGCTGTTTCCTGCTTGTTAGGGAAAGCCTCAACCCATCCAAAGAAAGTATCTACAAACACGAGAGGGTATCTGTACTCATATTTTCCTGGCTTAACTTCTGTAAAATTGGCCTTCCATTATACTCCAGGCCATTCTCTTAGGTCTTTTGCCCTGCTTACTCTTGGCTGCATAATATTCACTTACTGCCATATCGTACACTGTTCTACTATCTCTCTGGCCCAAAACCTGAGGTCCACTATATATACTTTAGATCCCTTAACTGCTTGGACAAGCTTTTTATCCCCTAAATGAGTCCATCTGTGCATTTGACCTAGTAAGTCTTTTGCTTGCTTTCTGGGGAGTATACTTTTTCTTCTTGTGTGTGCCGTTGTCCTTCCTTCTCTAGGTAATAGTTGGTAGGGTGGCTAGCAATCTGAGTCCTTTCTTCTTCCGTATATTTTAAGTGAGGCCCTGGTCCTCAGCTAGAATCTGCTGGCAATCATTAGCTGGCCGGTTGAGTAAGAGTGGCCAAGTTGGGGGCCACTGGTGACGTAAAGGTCACCCGATCTGAATTTAGCAACAGAGTCCGATAATGAGTCATGCGGGCATTGGTCAGCCATCAGTCTGGGGCTGGCAAACAACACTCTTCAAGGCATGGGAAGCAGTCACAGTCAGGTCCTGCCCCAGTCAATTTGTCAGCATCTTTAACTAGAACCACCGCTGCCGCCACTACCTGTAGGCGAGCAGGCCACCCAGCAGCAACAGGGTCTAATTTCTTTGACAGATAGGCAACTGGGTGCTTCCCGGGACCCTGCCGCTAAGTGAGCACCCCCTTGACTATCCCCCTGTTCTCAGCCACATAAAGGTGGAAAGGTCTACTGGCATCAGGCAGTCCTAGAGCAGGGGCCTCGAACAGAGCCTGCTTAATCGTGTCAAGAGCATGTTGCTCTTCTTCCTCCCAAAGGAAGAGCTGTCAGCTTTTAGTCAGGGGATTGGGGGTTGGGGGCGGGGAAGCAGCCAATTAAGCAAATCCTGGGATTCATATCCGGCAGAACCCAGCTATGCCCTGAAATTCCCATACCTGTTTGGGGCTTTGCGGAAGAGGGATGTGCCGGACTGACGGTCTCCTTTCAAGCAGAGCAGCGTTGGAGAGCCAGTGCCAGCTGTCTTTCAGCAGGTAGCCTAAATAACTTACTTTTCTCTGGCAGATCTGGGCCTTCTTGGCTAAGGCTCTGTATCCTAATCCTCCCAGCTACTCCAAGAGGTGTTTAGTGCCCTCTAGTCAGTCCTTTTTAGTCCTGGATCCCAGGTTTCTTCACAGGCAGGAGGGAAGTATTCCAAGCCGATTGGCACTTCCGCAGGATCCCTTGTTCTAGGAGCCTGGTAATGTGGACCCTAATTCTGTCCTGAGCCTCCTTTGACGTCTGATATTGGTGCGCAGACACTGGGGAGGCTTGAGCTCTGAGCTCCACATGGATGGGGGAGGGTTGGTTGATGGCCCTCCCCATCTCTGTCATCTCAGCCCAGGCCTGGGGAAAGGCCTCAAGCCACCAGTCTAGGTCCTGGGGTGCCCTGTCCGAGGTCTCAAACAACTTTCGTTAATCCTCTAGCCTGAGAGTCAGGACTTGGAGTGGTTCTCCCTGGGGGCCTTTTAACTTGGGGCCCCTCTGAGAGGAACTGAATCTGGGCTCCCATTTTGGTGAGCAGCTCCCGGCCAAGGAGGGGGTGGGGGCAGTCTGGGATAACCACGAAAGAGTGATCAACTGATCTTCAGGTAGTCCATGAATATTGTTTGGTCTCAGTGGCTCCTTGTACCCATGATGTTTTTTAGACATGGGGCCATCTGTTTGGGGAAGCACTGAATGTTGTGTCCTGGTGTCTACCAGAAACTGAATAGGTTTCCCCTCCACCTTTAGAGTTACCCTGGGTTCGGGTAGGGGTTCCAAACCCCATCACCCCTCCCACCCCCAGTCGCTTTCTTTGCCCAGGGCTAACACCTTCTGACATTTTTCCCAGATTGGAGCTTTTCTCCCTGTTTCTTTTTGTTGGGCCACTCTTGGGCACAGTGGCCCCTCTCCTTGCAGTACACTCACTACCTTTGTAAGGGATTTTCTGTCTCTGATTGGAGTCTCTCGTCTCTGCTTTCCCTAACCACTGTAGCTAAGATTCTCTTTAAATTCCTTTCCTGTCACCTTTCTTTTTTCATCTCCCTTTCATCTTCTTCCTCTCTCTTTCTCTGCTCCTTCTCCTCCTCTCTCTCTCTGTTATGATAGACTTTCT